CGGCGGCAGGGGCTGGAGCAGGAGGAGGCAGGAACCTGTCGACCAAGGTCTGGAGGTGGCCTCTGAAGGCATGGCCCTGCTCCTCCAGTGCCTCCACACTCCGCTGCCACAGCCGCAGGTCCTCCTGGACCCAGTGGTCCTGGGTGCAGAGCTGGTGCTCCAGGAGCTGCAGGTGTCACCACTGGTACTCCTCCTGGTTCCTGGTATGCCTGCAGTCCCAGGTGCTGTGGCTGTGGTGAAACAAGAGCAGTGGTCAGTTCTCTCTGGGGACACAGTGGGTGAAACCCAGCCCCCCTCTGCAAGGTGAGATCGGTGTGTGGGGAATGGGCCAGGGCCCCTGCATGACATCCAGCTGCTGCTTCATGGTGGGCAAGGCCCAGGCACATGATCCCTGGGCTCCCTCTCCCCCCATGCTCCCCATACACATAAGGGGAGCATGATGGCACTTACATGTGGAGCCCTCCCCGGCCTCGGACGACACAGCCAATGTGCTCTGTGGGATGCCTCGAGGGTCCAGGGTCCTGGCAGGCTCCCTGCAGGCTCCTGGCTCTTGGCATCATCCTCCTTCTCCTCCTCCTCCGTGTCAGGGACAGGGCCCTCTGCCCTGGGGCCGATCATCACCCAGGGGGCAAGGACTGCGTGAGCCCCCAAGATGCGGTCCAGAGCCTCATAATGAGAGCATGCCTCTGGGTTGGACCCTGGTTGGGAGGCCTTGGAGTAGGCCTGCCACAGGTCTTTAATCTTGCAGCGGACCTGCTCCTGGGTCCGTATGTGGCCTCTGGTGACCAGGCTGTCAGCCATGCTGCTATAGATGGCTGCATTCCTGTGGCTAGTGCGGAGATCGTGGACGTTGGAGGCCTCCACTCCCGCAAACTCGATGAGGTCCACGATCTCTGCTCTAGACCAGGTGGGCGCCCACCTCTTGCGGCCCCGGGCTGGCTCTTGGGAGCCACCAGCCTGGTCCCGGCAAGAGGGGGTGGGCTGGGGGGCATCGGGTGGGTGGCTCTGTGCCGTGCCAGGTGCAGGGTCTGCTAGCTGGGTGCTGGCAGGGGGCTCTGGGGCTGGGAGGGGGGCAGAAGAGTTTCCTTGGTTTGGCCCAGAGTGGCCACCAGGGCAAGCTGGGAAGGGCTAGCCTCCAACTAGTTCGAATTAAGTGGCTACACAGCCCGTAATTCGAACTACTTAATTCGAACTAGGCGTTAGTCCTCGCAGAATGAGGTTTACCTAGTTCGTATTAAGTGCTCCGTTAGTTCAATTTAAATTTGAACTAGCAGTTTATATGTGTAGCCCCTATTAAAATTAATTCAAACTAACTGCTGTTAGTTTGAATTATCTTTGTAGTGTAGACATACCTTCAGATTTTAAAGCTATTTAGATATTGCTCTACCCTACATCACAATGCCAAATACATTTAGGATAATAAATCTTATTTTCAAAGGGGGTTTAGGCACTTGGGAGTCTAAATCTCATTGATAATTTGTGAGATTTGGGCTCCTAAGGGTTTAAGTCCTTTTTTAGAATGCGAGTTTGTCTTTTAAAACAATTAGGCATTGATAATTCAGCAATGCCTAAATATGTTTAAAATCCGGGCCTTATTAAACATAGACTGTCAGTGCCAAGGTCAGGGGTAGACTGAGGTCTTCTAATTCTTACTGCATTACACTAATCTGTTCAATCAGGATGTCACATCCATTAATAAAGTGCTATTCATTATAACTTCAGGACCTTGTGAATTTTGTGAAACCTTCACAGTTTTGTGAAATGACTGAACAAAACACTTTCAAAGCAGACCTAATGCCACATTAGACACTAGATTAAAATCAAAACATTTGCAAAGTGCAAATTCCTGTGTTTGCAGGCTGAATCAGGTAATAATCAGTGTGACTTGGTCTGGAAGTTGGTTTCACTGTCATCTGTGAATGTAAAATGACATTTTTGTGCACATAAATGCCAATGTTTGCTGGATTTTCTGTGCATATACACATTGTGCCTTGCTTTGATGATTTGGTTCACAACATCCAGTTTGTGTAATAGGAGTTATTAAATTAGAGATTGACTCATCTAATTTTATTTGCTGGAATACATGTCTTTGATGTGATTAAGAAAACAGTTTTGATTCTGAGATCTTTTCTGCTGCCTCTTCAACACTTTTAATCAGCTAATATATTTAATTGCATGATTTAAATGACATGAACCAACCATATATATCCATATTCATGTTTTTTCAATCACCAATCTAGAATTAATCCAATCCATAGATTGTCCCTTTCTGTTAATGCATTCTAGACTATCCATATTATCAAGGGTTTTTTTGGGGAATCTTTTTAGAGGAATAAGGATTTATTGCTTTGAGTAGGTAATTTCTGTATTCATTTTGTTGTATTCATCTAGATATCCTAATTTCTACCAACAAGTCCTCCGCTTGCTGTAAAAAATTCTATAGCATTATCTAGTAGAGCTGGGTAAAAGTTTGGGGAAAAACTGCCTATAAACATCTAAAAATTAGAGACTGAATTTTAATTTGCTACGTTAGCATTGCTTTTGTATTTGCATCTTACAAAAGTTTGTGGAAAATAGATCGCAGGCCCATAGCCATAATCTCTTTTATGACAACTCAGACTTGTTTTGTGAGGAAGTAGCAAGGTGGCCATATATTTTAATTTGAGCAGGAGCATGGGACGTAGCATTACACAGAAAGGGAGGAAGGAAGAACAAACAGGGAGATATGGAGGAGAAAGGGCTCGGTGGAGGTCCCATTCATCACCTATGAGTCCATGTCACAGAAGTTCAGGCAACAAGACCTTTGAAATCTCTGGAAAAAGTGAATGAGTGAAAGTGCTTAGGCAAAAGTATGGGAAGAGACTGACTGTTTGTTCTCCTAGGGCATGTCTACACTGAAACGTTATTAATGTGAGCATTTACACAGCAAGCCTGTTATTTTGAAATAATTCCAAAATAACAAGCTTATTCCACAGTTGGGGAATCCCATGGAAGCAAAGCCTGTGACGATGGAGTCCACGTTGCCCAGGATGACGACGACCCTGTGCAGCTGGATGGTGTTGATGGTCTTCATCACCTGTGAGAGGGTACAAACAGAATCATTGGATTGTCAGAACCCTTGGGAGTTCCGAGTCCAATCCCATTCCACAGCAGGAGCAACTCCAACTAACCTCATCCTGTGGCAGAGCTTTGTAAAGGCGGGACTGCTAAACTTCTAGGGTCTGAGAGTCCACCCCACCCTTCCATAGGGATCCGCATTCCATTAGTTCACCACCCTCCTAGGACAATAGCATGGGAACGCCATACATGCATGAGCACAGCCCCAACTGTCAAGCTCCCCATACCAAACTGGTTCCCAACAGAGCGGTAGCTATCCAGTATGTCGAGCTTCCAAAGTGCAATGGCGACAGGCTTCTGAAGGGGGATAACGGATTGCATGTGGGTGTCACATTGGCTGAGGGCAGGAGTGAGCCACTCTCAGAACACCAGGAAGGTGTCCTTCTGCATGTGAAAGTTCTGGAGTCACTGCTGGTCATCCCACCGCTCCATGATAATCTGGTCCCACCAGTCAGTACTGGTGTTCCGTTGCCAGAAGCAGTGGTGCACAGTGTCCATGGGACGGTGAGGTGGGCTGTTCTGCATGAGGTGCAGCAGGAGGCCTAAGAGATGGCAAGTGCTTTGTAGCAGGTCTGCCACCATGCCCGAAGTTCTGTGATATCTGCAAGGGCAACTGGAGCAGGCAGTGAGATGAGTTTGCTGTCCCTCGAGGAGGTAGGCAAAGGTGAAGAGCCGGAGACACTGCTGTAGAGGGTAGCTCCTTTAAGCACGAGCCTCAGATAGCTTCAGGCAGCAGCTACAGGAAATGAGTGCAGTCTTCATGTCCTGCCCAAAATGCTTCCAGGGGGCTTTAAATGCGATTCAGCCTCCAATCAGTGTGGATGCGCTATTTCGAT